CGGGGGAGGGAGGGGGGCGGGGGTGAGAGCACTCCAGCCACTTGTGCCTTCCCAGGGGTGGGGAAAGTTAATACGTAAACCATTACATAAGGGAAATAATTCTCAGGATGGATATGCTAAATTTTAAAAATAAAAAAATAGTGTACACCCTATTACAGAGGTCCCTTCTATTTTTATAAGGCATCTTACAAAGCAATAATATAAAATAGTTTTGTAAATTTTTGTCTGGAAATCTTCAAGTTGTTCTAGTTAATTGGTAGCTTCTGAATATAAATAAAATTCCAACTCCTTTCCAGTGCTGAGAGGTACACATGAGACCAGAACAATCAGAAGTTTAAGTACATTTTATTAACAATGCATCCCTTTGATAAGATTACACTTCAGGAGGCTTTTAATGCCCATTGACATGAACTGTACACACTATAAAAAAAAAAAAACCAAACCCCCAAAACCACCAGGAAAAAAAAAATCAAGATGGGCAACACCATTTTGGGACAAGCCTCTGTTTAAATTATACACAGCTCAATGCAATATTCTTACGGAAAATATATAAATACTTTTTCTTTCTATGTTACAGGTATACAATATAAATCAGATTTCCATGTCTGTTCAGTGACCTACAAACACTAGAACCTCCAAATATGTAGCAGCGTATTACTAAATAGAAAAAGACCACACAAGACAGGGAGAATAAGTCTTGAGATTTTCCTTGATCCTTTCCCTCCTCAGCATGACAGTTAAGATACACTCCTGTGATGCAGTTCTAGGGATGCTGACAGCCCAGTACTGGAACAATTTTGGCCTGCCTTCTCGCCAGCTTAGACATGGCCTCCGGGGCTAAAACACCCAGTGGCAAAATGGCATGTTACACTTTTTGGCATAAATTACATTTCTCAAATAAAATAGTGTATTTTACAAAGCGACTCAAGCAAAATGTGCAACTTCTGCATGCTGTGGCATTGCTCTCCATCTACATTACAAAAATACTACAAAGAAAATCCCCATTCTTCACTGAATATACACATCTGTTGAAAACAAAACTATCCAAGGAGCCAGAACTGGAGTTAAACAAAAAACAAGGAGCTGGGAGGATTCTAGCAAAATACAGACATGGATTCTAGGACATCCCCAAACCTCTCTTACAGTTCTCAGATTTTAGTTTCACCTAGTATACATTTAATAAGCACATGATAATAGAATTGTAACTTATAAGTTACAGGACCTGCTTTCAGCTTGCTCCAGCGAAGCTCTGAGTAAGGTGACTCCCGAGAGGTGAGCAAACACCTCAGAGATGCTCTGAAGCCTGGCAAGAATTCTTCCACTGCAATTGCTCAGCGCGAGCTCATGTTCAGATGAGGAAACCTGACAAGCTGAGCTTTAGCTCAACTGTCAGATGAGGAAAAGTGACTGTTTCAAGCACAACACGCCCAGGGCCCAATACACAAGTTATGCACCTCATAGCCTGACTATCTCCAGCTGCAAGCGACATCCGCAACAGTTGGGAGCGTTCTGCATCTCCGAATTTCAGACAGCTGAACAAGGTCTTTCCAAAAGGACACTCTCAGCACCCAGCTTTGTCCTCCTCCCCACTCGGTGGACAGAAACAGGCCCTCAGGGAAGCGACTGGAAGGCTTTAGTCGGCAACTCGGCAACCCGCCCTTTGCAGAGGGCTGTCCGCTGCCG